TTGCCAACGCTGGAGCGAAGAAGTCGCAACATCAAGTAAGGAAATTTCTGCTTCCACTCCCTTCGTATTTATTCATAGGAGTGTTCAAGCCAAACCGAAATTTTTGATTTTCCCAGGCGGGAGTGAACGCATTTCAAGAGGTAGGAACTGCGTTTGCGTTTTCCACACGGCCTTCAGTGTTTAAATAATACCTGGAGAGCTTCGCCACAGAAAGAGCTGTCAGTACAATCTAACTATCTTAGGTCAGCTTGCCTGTCTTGGTACCCAACATGTGCTAACTTTACACATTTTTTAATGTCCTTGAATGATCGGAGTGTGTTTACTGTTCCCACAAAAGATTATCCTTTTATTAAACTTCACAACGACAGGCATGGCGACGATTGGGCTTTCAAGTACAAATTTCACAGGAATGGTTGTTATATACGTACAGCTCCCTTGAGTGTTGGCACCATTCAAACGTCTTGCTAAAGATAAGGAGCTAAGATTCTCCCTACTGTAGTTGAATTCTTTTGTGAATAACTATTTGCTGGTTGGGTTTTGCGCTCTCCTCGTTGAAAGGAGGCGTACTTCATCACCCACCACAGTTTTGCATACAAGCATTCAGTGACACTGCTGCCCAATGCCATCCTGATGGACGGCACCTGGACTGGAGTGTGATGCACCACATTGCGCCGGCTATGATGGTGTAAAAGGAGAAACTTTGGATTTACTACAGTCTGTAGTACTGCCAAAGCAGAATATCTTGCACACTTCTAACCATTTGGTGAACGGAACTTGTGCAGTGAAATCGCTTCAATGATCAACCGCTCCTTTAGAGTTGGATTGTAGTGGTGTGTCCTTTTGCAATCCTAGGGTGTTTTTTGCTTTTCCCATTTGTCCTATCGTATCCATCACAAAATATGGGTACGCCGTAGCCCTTTCCCCCCTCTTCTGCAATCACTCGCGTTTTTACTCTTTTGTTCTTGACTTAACAAGGTCGCCAGCTAAAAGAATCTAGTTTCCATCTTTTTTTCTTAGAAATGGAAAACTAAGCTGGTTCTGTTTCTCGGCTTAATAGATTATTGAATTGGCAAACAGACCTATGACTGTCGGAAAAAATTGTTTTATTTCCGGAAAGAAGTACCAGAGTCTCCTCACTTTGTCTCGGTAGTGGTGGAATTTCGATTTGAAAGAAGCTACTGGCAATTTTCATAAATCTCACAGTGAAACTTCTGAGGCAAATTTCTTAGACGGTAGGTCCGCCTTAGAGGTTTTCAATCTACCTAATACAAAATCCGTGTTTCTTCATCTCTTGGTCGTGTGAATAGTTAATGAGTCTTTTTTTAAAGGAATGCTGCCCATGTTTTACTTGGAGGAAAATCGTATCTCTGAGCACCCAGCTGGTTGAATCATGGGTAAAGTAACCAGAAGTGTGTTGTCCTTTCCTTTGGATGGTTTTATACCGTTGAGCTTTCTTAAATGCAAGTTCTGAACAGGAGCTTCGCCTGGCTTTCTATCAAGAGCGCTCAAAAGTAGCGGTTAAATATTTTTCGTTATGAGGGAAAGGGTCAGGATCTTAAAATATTCATCTACTCTCTCAGAGCCCATGAGACAGCACCGAAATTAACTTCCAAATAAAATTTTATGTCTCTAATAACTATAAATTTACGTCTCCAGGGGAGACTAGTTTATGGGAATATATATCTTGTGTATTTCTTTGCTAAAATATTTAGCAGAATCCTACCACGAAGTGGTCAAGCCCCCAATTGTAGCAGCCTGAATCTTTCAGACGTATAAAGAGCTGCAGGCTAATGACATAACCTGAAGGTCATGCACAAAGGGGAAACCTTAGGTGCCCATGTAAGCAAAACAAAGGGTTGAACCAACAGGAAAAGTATTACATAGACCCCTCTCCTTTTGAGCGTCGTTCCCGCCGCTCCCCATCCAAAGCGCCCCGTGTTGGCCATCACAACGTTGTTAGTACTGTAAGGAAAAACATCCACAAACCAACCATGCCATTCATTGAAGTCGTGTGCAACTGAGAGGATATTTGACCTCAATGTCACTGACCTCTCTTGGCGATTCTACTGGATCTGGAGTTTCGTCATATTCGAGAACTGCATTGAGGAATGGGGCACTGCGCGAGCCATCTAATATATATATCGCTAGTCGTCAGGACACTGGCTTACAAACAAAGTTTCAAGTCTATTTTCCTTGTTACTGTGTTCTACTAACTTTAGTGGTGCCCACTCATGTCTGTCCGGGTTCTACCTAGCTAGCAGGAAGATGGAGGAGATATTGCATGTTCACTTCATTGGCATCTTCATACAGGTATTGCAGCCACCTCCGTAACGAGCTTCACCGGACGATTCACGGCCACGGCTAGTGTCGCTTCAGTTGTTGATAGCATTTCTGCAGAACACGAGACTAGGGTAGTTGACGAAGGCAGAAGTCATTTTCAACCCTTCTGGCAGGAGTTGTCATAGGTTCTTTACCCCCAGCTTATTTCCTTCTTCCGTCGCGCTGTTTTTTCAGCATCGGGTTCGCTTTCTACCGTCAAACGTAGCGCCCTAAATCTTTCCAAAGTGAAGATGGGCTGGGAGGCTACCTGCACGACCTGGAGACCATGTCGCCCAGCAAAATTAAGGCAGCGAAGCTTCAAGCGCCCACGAATTCAATGCGAAGAAATAAATAAATAATCAATGTTGAACAATCGCTGCCAGCTTAAGAATTCTTTGCTTAAGGAAAAGTATACTTCCTATGTAGGTGTTTTGGTTCAACCTGGGTAGAGTGTACGGTTTGTTATCCTTTGGTTCACTTGTAAAGTAGAAGGATAAGCCCTCAAGCATCCTTCGCTTAAAATTTTAGCAAATTATCTACTCAGCTAAATTTTGCTTGTCATTTCAGTGCAGTGTTTCTAACCCAATTAATTATTGTCTATTTTTTATCAGTTGTGGGACCTGACTGTTGACATTTCGGTTCACGAATTCGTCCTGTTTGCTTTTGAAAACAAGCTACTTTTGCTGTCAAATATAATTTATGTGCCCTGTGAGTCGAAAATAGTATTTTATTGGACCGATCATCGTCATTCCATAGTTAAACTGCAATCCCTTTTCGAGAGTTTGTCACCTACGCGAATTGCGTTTTTACTTTTTTAAACCATTTCAATTTTCCCTCCGTCTTTTTTCGTCTGTTTCATAACGTTCACTTTGCCCTCGGAAGTAAACGTCCAACCTTCGAGTCCGTCTCAGAATGTTTCATAGGCCTTGTTTGCATTTTGCTTGGGTTGCCCCTCAAGTTGTAATGTGAATGCCGAAAGGGTTGTTATCATGCGGCCCTAATGTAGTCATGGCATTATTCACAAGTCGTTTAAACTTTGCCGAAATGTATCAGCTTCACTCTTCTTGTCAATGCTGTCTTCGCTACTCTCACTCTCACGCTTCCGTATTGATAGAATGATAGCAAATTTGTGTTCTAACCTCTTTAACTGCCGACAATCGTCGTCATTGACAATCCTAACTGTTTTACTCCTGTAATAAAAAGAAAGAAGGGTTGGGGACACGCGTGGTTGAATCGGTGGTAAATACAACAGATGCAGAGGTGGCGGTGCCATCGGTGCGCTAAAAATGCCTAATAATTTCTTCCTCCTTTTTCGTAAGGGAAGGGCCTTCAGGCGAACCTCTTTGTTTCATTCATCTATGAACTTTTGGCTTTCCGCACTGGGTATTTCCACTTTTTCTATTGTCTATTGCCAGCATAGTCGTGAAGACTAGAGCTACTTTTGAAGTTCCGGTAAAGGTGGCACAGAAGGCACTTGATACAATATTGTATTCCACCGTCACCCTACAACCAAGGTAGAATCTGAATCTTCTCCGAGGCGGAGTATGTAAGTCCAGAAAGTAACCATAGGCGTGGGCCGTAGGATTATTTCAATAAAGAGTTTTAGATATTATATACAGCTAAAATGTTGATAAATACCACATTTCGTAACTTCTTTTGAGTGCCGTCGTTGGCACTTCTGATGGTTACACCGGCGCGAAGAAGGGTTGAAAGGAAATATGATCAAATTAGTGGTCTGAACTACCGGCGTGGGAACAGAACTACAGCCACTGTAGTATCAATTTTGCCCCCTAACTTGCTCAGGCAAGAATTTTATGGAAGAATTGCTTCTTTTTTGATAGCGAGTCTGATTTGCTTTATACACCTCTGGCTCTGTAGCGGGCAGTAGTTGCCTACCTTTGAAGTACCGAAAGGTTGATGTGTTGTTTAGTGGAAAATGTGCTTTCGTGCAATATTAATATATTCTACTGCCGCTTCAACCAATGATGTCGACGTTGCTCTCAGATGCTGTTGTGAGTCTATGCGAAACTATGCCTTGATGGTCTTTCCAAGGATGAGACGCTGGAGGTACGGAAAGAGGATTGAATTCGTTTACAATCAAAACAGGTTTTAAAAGCTGCATAGTGTTTCTTCCTTGAGCATCATTAACGGCGCTCCCAATTGCCACTTAGGTGAAATCATTCCCGTACAACCGATGTGAAGGCTGAACCATAACTGTTTGATCACTTGCTATGCCTTCAAGTCCGCATCAGCGAGGAGTAAGCCGGCAGTGGTGGAGCGAAGTGTGCCGTTTGCACCTCCAGAGCTATGCATTCGGCGCCTGAACACCTCACCGACGATCAGCCAGCTATCAGGCGAGGCGGAGGAGGAAGCAATGTCGGCAACGGCATTGAGGTCGGGAGCAGGTGCTGGAGCGGTGGTGACGGTGCCGGTGGCGGTGACAAAACAGGCCAACGGCTTCGGCTTCACCTTAGCCGATCAAGTGGGTGGACAGCGCGTTAAGGAAGTCCTTGAACCCACCGGTCTTCGCGTTGGTGACGTCATCCTTGAGGTCAATGGCAAGTGGGTCAAGGAAGCCTCTCATCTGGAGGTCGTTCAACTGCTGAAAACCTGCTCCATTGGCAAGACATCCAACTTCCTCATCCAAAGAGGTATCCTGCATTCTCTTAGCCACATTTTCTCGAACTGTTTGTTTCTGCCACTCACCTGTATTTGATTGGGCTAGAATTTCTGGAAGTTGGATCCTTCATTAAGCGCTCAGAGTGTTTCAGTCCTGATTATTAACTATACGTTACCTTTGACCCTTATACGTGCTTCCTTGTTTGGCAAAAATGGTTATATCAGTTATAAGTGCGAAAGTCCAGTAAACAAAATCTGTCACTAATTCAAGTTTTGTATGCCCTCAGTCATACCAACGCAGGAATATCCCAAAATGTTAATGAAAATGGTATCGGATTTGGTGCTTGGGTATGCTGGAAAAATGGAGCTAAACGATGGTTAGTCGTTGACCAGGAGGTACTCAAGTCGCTGTTTATGCCTGTGGCTGTTCTCGATCCTCGTTCGAGCATCTTTGGCGTTGGCCTTGCCCCTCTTAGAGAGTACATTCCAAATAATGGAATAAATATTTAACTTTCTTGTGAAATGTTTACGACAAATGGCTTTTAAATGCTAATTAAAACTTTTGGCAAGTTGGGGAGGGCTGTAAAGGTTATTAACTGAAGCTGTAAAGTTGTTTTCGATGCGAGTACAGCCGTCATGTAGTCAAATAGCGGTTTGGTATGTACTAGAAATGGCGATCGTAAAAACACCTTTAGTTCAGATGCAAATTTTTATTTCTTTAAGGCCAGACGTCTGATGAGTGAGCCCATTTGGATGCTTTAAATTCGTGTCTATCATGATCTGCTGTAAAAAAGTAGCTTCTTGTGAAATTGAAGCCATGATGTGTCAATTTTGGTCTGGTACTTCGTTTGATTACCTAGAATTTTGCCTTTTTTTATGAATTAAAATCCATTTCTGGATTCTTGATCACAAGTTCTACTTTTGATATCTTTGCGCAAAAAAATAAATCTTACTGTGGTAATGGTAGCACCCCAAGTTTTCTCTGAAACCGGAAGGAGCTATAATACCAGGTCAGGAAATGTATTACCGACGTGTAGGAGGGCTGGGTAGCTACTGCCGTGTCCTAGACGCCTAGCCGCCCAGCGGGAGTACAAAAGACGGAACCTTAAGTGCCCGAGTAAGCAAAACGAAGGACTAAACAATCAAAATGCTGCAGTAACTGTTTGAATTAGTCTCTCATAGAAACTTTTGCAAGCGCTTGGAATGTAGGTGACATTCCTTGTTGATGTACTGATTTGCATGACAATTTCCCCTGTCCAAATAAACGTTTGACGCGTTCATTATTAGGGCCTCAAAAGGAAATCCATCGCTGCAACAACTCGCAAGAGACACTACCTCGTTATACCGCTAAATAACTACAAAAAACGTTGCCATCCTCATCAAATCCCGATCGATTTAGATTCATTTTATTGTTCCAAGCTGAATTTATCCCTTTGTGACATGATTTGATGAAACCGCTTACCATCGTAGATTGGCATAGAATCTGCGTCACATATAGTGCTGAAAGCGGATGTGTTAAATTCCCACAACCTCACCGTTTTTATATTTGCTCTCTTAAAACCATTCTACAACTCTACCTACTGGTGGAGCATATTCCTTTTTCCATAATAACGCCTATTTCTCATTTGTGAAATTGCCCTCCGCGTTATCTATTCCCATGATGCCTCAAGGCCTCAAGAATCCGTTTCCCCCCATTGAATTCCAAGCACTGGTAGATACTTGTTCTTTCGAGGTGGTGAAATTCACGTGCTCCTCTGTTAGGGGGAAGAATGACTGACAAGTATATGCATACACACACACTAGTATCTCTCTTTTTGCAGCAAACTTCTTAGTTCTTGCATGCCCCGAAGTTTGGCATCGACTGAGCCATTGTTTTAGCTTAAGTCTTTTGTTTCTAATGCTCCCCCCTCCTTTCATCTTCCCCCTATCACTGCCACTAGCTGCATACAGGTGTGTGAACCTGCTCTTACTTGCACTGGAAGTAGAGGCTTTTGCGGGCGTTCTACCCCGTTGCTCTAGAAACGCTGCCTGCTGAGTGAGGGGTGACACCTGGTGAGGTGGTCTGGCGTCTATGCCGACTAGTTTTATCAATGTATAAGTTTTTTTAGCATGTGGATTTGTTTTTTTACATATGCTTTGTCAGGCTGCTCTTTGTATTTACAACCGCTGTCCTTTTTTTAACCCTTCCATTCGATTTTCGCCTCACTTTATTAGTTAAGTTGATGGCGATGCCTAGCAGCGTCAATGACCCTTCTTGTTGAATTAGATCCTTTTCTTGGATGCTTGAACTGAACTTTCATAGTTTCATTCCTACGTGAAATCGACTTTTAGCGTAAATGAATCTGTTACTTTTATAGCTTAAAATTTGGTATGGACGGGCATTCTAACTTTTAACCGTTCAAGAAATCTTTTTTATCCCTCACAAGAAATAGTCCCTGATTTCCAGTTCTACGATTCCTTTGAACGCTTCTGACTGAGTAGAAGGAAGATTGTACATTGTTTGAATTCCAGTTAGGAACTGAAAATTCCTATCTAGTATCACAAGGAGAAACTAGATCGATGGGCATTTCTGATCTTTCTCCATCAAATCTATAGTGACACTTGCCAACTCCGTTTTAAAAATTAATTACGGTTAATGTCTTTCCCATTGTGGGGTGCTTTCATGATTATTGCGGCCGATTCTTGATACCTTTACTCCTGAGACGGATTAAGGATTATCCGGCCTTCAGCGTCATACTTACACGCATCTTGGTCCTGCTGATAATGTTTTCAGACTGCTCATTGCCTTAAGGAGTTCTGGAGCTCCACGATTTCGGTAAATGCTTTCATCTACCCGGGAGTCCTATTTTCATTGCCACGAACGATGGGTTGGTGGACACTCTAGCGCGGCTTAGCATCAAAAATTTTACTCAACTTATTTTCATCAACCGTTGATGCTTAATGTTCTGCCTTGTGCTCCAATCAGAAGCATGTCGGGTGCTCTGGATGATCTTGGAGTGTTCTATTTAGCCCCTCTTTCAACGATATCCTCGTTTCGAGTTTACTCCCTACTTTGTTTAACATTGAATGAGAAAGTTTTCTTGTAGGCTAGACAGCCTTGCAACGCTTTGAGATAATATGCTATCGCTAATACATTTGGACTTTTCAACATCTTATCAAAACATTTATTTTAACCTGGAGCTCAAATTTATTTTCACTGTCACGAGGTAGAGACTGCTCAGTTCTTAAGCGGCGTGTCAACATTCTGCACTTATACTTGACTCAAAGTCTATTTATTTTCCCCTTTTGCTTGTAGTTCTACCGATTTCCGTGGACAAAAAACACATGGGCGCGAGTGTGAACTCCAATTTCACTGTAAGTCTACCCCTACACAATGATCCCCCCTTTCCTGTCAACTTTGCGATGTTAAGACAATGGTTTTCGGGGGTAGACTGGTCGCCTCAGCTCATCAAAGAATAACTCCATTCAAAAACTGTGTAATTATCATTCCCAGACTAAGAATAGCCTACACCCATTTTGTTACTTCTGAAATCAACTGTTCTGTTTGGTGGTGTATTGCAACCAGGGTTATCATAAACCAGTGGAGAGCAGCATATGTCTCCCGCTTGTGATGCGTGAACCCCTTGGTAGGTGAATATGTTAAACGGAACACGGCAATAACTCTGAATTCATCCTGGCATTACTGGAGACTTTGAGACAAAATGTAATTAATATTCTGCCTTTGAAGAGAGAGGTTTCTTTGACTGCAAAAGATGATTTGGGGTGCATTTTGTTCCTCTCCCTTCCGCCTTTCCCCCTGTCTGACAGATTTTTTTATTACAGAGACACCGGAGGATGATTCCATTTTGTGTTTGTGTGGACCTTTTTTTCTTGCTCCCAAGGGGCCTGACGAAGATTGCAGTGTGATTCACCTGGGTGACCGGAAAGTTTTCTTAGCTGTGTTCTCGGAGAGGTTGTTCACTACAAATTTTACCTAAAAGTTTCTACCATAACCAATAGGGCCGTGTGGTTATGCGAAGGGTATTCGAGTTAAACCGAGACTTTGGGTCTTATAGCTATACCATTGAGCCACAGTCTATCCTTTTACACGTTTGAGGCCGGCACGCAATCCAGTTTAGATCCCTTTAATCAGGATGACAGTAGGCAACGGTGTTGCTGGATGTGTGCCTACCACGCCATATGGCGGGTGATGAACCACTTCTTTTGTCATTCAAAAGAAAGACGTAGAATCCGAACACGTGGACATTCAGTTCTATCTACAGAAGACACCGCACGGTGATGGGTAGTCTACTGCAAGAAGCCACTTTGGTGATAGCATTGTGTCAGTGATGATCCCTACCATAATGGTTTCCACCCCACAAAACAGTCGGTCGCTCCTGTCAACATTCAGTCGGCGCGTGGACGCCCAATCGGCGCACAACTTGTCGCCAAAAAGGTGCACAGGGGATGAATCTTTCTGTGAGGACAGTGAACACACTCGTTCAAGAGCGTTGGCAATTCCTCATATCTAGAGCAAATGGTACCAAGTCATCGCTGAGGATGTAAAGCTGGTTGTCTCAATGTGTTCCAGCCGTACTAGCAAATCTTCGGGAGTCCAAGCTTCGCATGCATTAGCTAAATGCTGTTGTCTATAAATGTAGTAGAAGACTAGGTAGAAAGCTGGATAGGGGTTACGCTACTTGGAATATGTTCTCTCCTATCTTTTGCACGCTCGGAATTCTTCGCTTGGTACCCAGTGCTTTACCTGGGTATTTCTTGATTTTGATTTTCGATTGGTTAAAAGAGCGCAGATGAATAAGCTCGATTCTCTTAAAAAGGGTGTACTCTTGCATTTGGTGCAAATAAGGGAAGCCTGGAATTGCCCGTTATCTTCAGTATACAACTAAGCCAATTGCATTTTGTTTTAGGCGCACAATTAATTCTCCTGGCTGGCAGTGTTTAAATAAAATAGCATAACCGGAAAGGGGTTGAGATGCGTTCAAGTCACATCCACCGCCCAGTTCCTTCCTTTCGGTGATGGGGATTTTGGTTGCTCCATCTCTGCTCACCGTTATTTTTTTTATTTCAGAGAGTACCCGACTGTGATTCACCACTGAGTTTTGGTAAGTGTTGCATCACACAGTTTCTGTGGCGACTGATTACCTTTTAAAGAGGAGCAAATGACTTCCCTCTTTTTTTCACATCCTCCATTATCGGGATTCGCATTCTTCCTCCACTGACTTATTGCCCCTAAGGGTGATTTATGAAACGCAAAACTAAGACTTATTAGTCTTGTAACATGTTTATGCGTTCAGTGAGGAGACTTTGGGCAGATTTTACTCCTTCAAACCGTCATAAAAGCAAATGTGCCGCGTTGTTTGTAAATCAGAGTGGAGACAGACGGTACCAGGGCGTGCCTCACATACACGAGGCGGAATCGGTTTTTCTCTAGCTCTATTTGTTCATCCCATTAATCAACCCGGATTGTGCTCTGGTCTAGTCTCGTACTATTTATTCCCATATTACCCCATTTATCGTGGGCATTGGTAACACAGCCATTTTTCACCCTCTTTCGTCTCCGCCCTTTTAGACGGTGCTGATATCAACGACTTCTCACCCACCAGCGCTTTGTATTCCACCTTCCACCCTGCTGATTACAATATGGTAAGTCCCCTTTCCAAGATTTAAATTACTATAGCAAGGTTTTCACTCCAACTATGAAGCCTTCTTTCACTAGTCCACCAAGTTTTAGGAGCATTCTTTAGCTCCTCTGCCTGAAACTCCCCTGATGTCGGCCTGTTAGAAATGTCGAGGATATCTTTGTTAATCTTGCGATCTTACGATTTTCCGGTGTGAAAAATACCTTTGTACTGCTCCTTTAGCTAGATTATCCCTTCTTGAGTGTACCTTCCTAAGCCTCTTGACCTAAAGAGTAGTTGTGTAACTTACTAATTTAGTTTTTTAGACATGCTTCTGAAAAATGATGCCGTACATATTTTTGATGCTAATTCATTCATCAAAATGTACTTAACTGGGGTTTGAAGATTCTGACGGATCTACTTTTACGCATTCTCCACCCACGTCACATGCTAATGACATTACAACTTTCCTACTCGAACTCGTACGTCAAAACGTGTGTGACGTGCTTTCTCCACCACCTTATGAAAACTGGTTTCGCCAGATCGTGAGACTTAGACGGATTTAGGATGTTCTTTGTCTGGAAAAAATCGTATGCTGAGCAGTTCAGTAGCGTGGGTGTTTCAATATCACCAGATCAACAAAATGCCTGGGTTGTAGAGGTCGACTTTCCTCTCGGACCATGGTACTGTGCGAATTGAAGAACTTTTCTAAGATTTTTATGAGGAGTTGCGGAAAATGTCTTTTGTAAGTGCAAAAAA